AGCCACACAGTAAGTGTTCGAGGCTTTATAGGCCATGGGATCGCTATCATTTTTGGCTTTGCCAGAGATGCAGAAATGGGCCTGACAGTGTTTCAATAAAACTTTATTTATAAGAACAGGCAGTACATCTCAAGCTTACTAGCCAGAGACTGACCACCTGCTCCACTTAACAAGCATGGATATTGAGTAATACTGTAACATACATGCATAGACACCACTCACACACACACACACACACACACACACACACACACACACGCATGCACAATATATACACAGTCAGGACTGTCACATATAAGTACTTAGAAATAATGAAATACCTCAATAATGACCATTAGGTCACCATGGAACCTTTAAAAATACTGGGTGGGCTGGGAAGGTGGCTCAGTGGTAGAGTGCTTGTCTTGCATGCATGAGGCCCTGGATTCAATTCCTCACAACCACATAAGCAGAAAAAGCTGGAAGTTGCGCTGTGGCTCAAGTGGTAGAGCACTACTCTTGAGCTGAAGAGCTGAGGGACAGTGCCCAAACCTATAGTTCAGGCCCCATGACCTACCAAAAAAAAATACTGGGTATAGCCAGGTGCCGGTTGGTACTCTACCACTTGAGTCACAGCACCACTTCTGGCTTTTTCTGAGTAGTTTATTGGAGATAAGAATCTCATAGGTACTGAGCTCGGGTGACTCATGCCTGTAATCCTAGCTATTCAGGAGGCTGAGATCTGAGGATCATGGTTCAAAGCCAGCCTGGACAAGAAAGTCCGTGAAACTCTTATCTCCAATAAACCACCAGAAAACTGGAAGTGGTGCTGTGGCTCAAGTAGTAGAGTGCTAGCCTTTCATTGAAGGGCTCAGGGAGAGTACCCAGACCCAGAGTTCAAGCCCCACGACAACAACAACAAAAAAGTCTCACAGATTTTTCTGCCTGGGCTGGCATTGAACCATGGTCCTTAGATCTCAGCCTCCGGAGTAGCTAGAATGACAGGCACCAGCCTTCAGCTGCGTCAAGCTTTTTGTTATAGTGATGCAAAGCTGACTGATACGCTACTGAAAGATTCACTGCTGCCAACCCCTAGGGCATTGTTCTCCTGTCTTACTTTTTGTTTTTCTAGGCATGAGTTTTTAGTATTTCATTACCAACCACGTTGGAATCATTTCCACAGGTATTTCTGAATGTGCAAAGGGTGGTTATCCCATTCCCAGCAGAAGAAAAGCCATCCAGAAAGGAAAGGAAAACTTCTTCCTGGTAGCGATTCCTGACTTGCTGGGAGAGAAATGCCAGTGCTCCAGAGAGCTGCTCTGGAGCAGGACCTGTCTTCTCTGCACAGGGCAGGCCAGGCTCATGGCTTCTGTCGAGTCCCAGGTTGAGGCTGGAGCCCTCAGGTCCTAGAAAGTCAGTCTAAGCTCAGAACTACAGCTGAAAAGAACCAAGGAGTTGCCAAGACATGTACAGACTTGGAAAAACCAAAGCACACATAGACCGCTGTTGCTCCCAGAAGCTTTCTCTTTGAGCTCAGGTCCCCATCAACAGGGTGTTTAAGTGACCTGTGTCTCTCTTTCCCACCTCCTCCCTCAGGAAGAGAAAGAGGAGGAAGAAGATGCTAATTATGACAAGTGGTAGCCCACCACAAGACGCCTCATGCCTGGTTTCTATAGAAACTCTAGTCCTTCTCTCACCTTTCAACACATCTCTGTGTCCCGACCAACTATTCCTGGAGATGTGGTTGGCTCTGATCTGTACCACCATTGCTCCTCTGCTCTCCCAGCGAGCGCTGCCTGATACGCGCCGGTCGGGTAATAATAGCCGCCGTGCACTGTGTGTGTGCCAAGATTTGTTCCAGCAAATCTTCACTTCCATCCTGTGGGGCTGTCACCCATTTTCCGAGGCGGCAGTACAGAGAGCAAGCTGGCCGTGCCCACTCTGAATTACAGGAATCAGAGGAGCCTTGGTTCCAGGTCTCATACGGACACCAACACCTGTGGATGCTGAAGCCCCTTAGGGAAAATGCCCTGATAGCTGCATAGAAGCCGAACACGTCCCCCAGGTGACTTACCATGCCCAAGACAGTGTCTCATACACAGCTGTTGGCCTGCATTGCTTGTAGAACACTAAGAATAGAATCTGTATGTGGGCCTGCAATCCCAAGTACTTAGGAGGCTGAGCTCTGAGGCTTGAGGTTTAAAGCAAGCCTGGGCAGGAAACTCTAGGAGACTTTTATCTCCAGGTAGCCAGCAAAAAGGTGGAAGTGGAGGTGTGACGCAAATGGTAGAGCACCAGTGTTGAATGAAAAAAACTAAGGGACAGCACCCAGGCCCTAAGTTCAAAGCTCCACACACATCTGTACATGCTTAGTACAGATGCAACTTCTCACAATTGGTTGAATCTGAGGTCACCAAGGCTAACTTTTAGTTTCCTTGGGCTGCCTTGACAAAGCGCCTGGCTGGGCAGCTTAAATCCCAGGAAGCCATTGTGTCCTTGTTCTGAATGGCGAAGGATCAACATCCAGGTGTCCTATCCAGTAGGCAGGGCTGAGGGCTCAAAGCCATGCATGTCTCTCTCCTTCACCTCTCATGGCTTCGCTTCCAATCTCTTCTTTTCTCTCCCCTCCCCTCCCTTCCCTTCCCTTAGTTCTTCCCCTTGTGCATTTCCATCTCTGTGTCCAAACTTCCCGTTGAAAATGGGCCCTGATCATCTTGGATTGGGGCCATGTTCATGACTGTCCTTCCTCCTGATTACTTTTGTTAAGGACTCTGTCTCCAAATAAGATTACATTCTGAGGTACTGAGCTAGAACTGCCGCAAATCTTTCTTGGCAGGGAAGAGGGACCCCATTCAGCCTGTACTAAGTGTAGTCTGACAGGCCTGGGCCGGTCTTCCAGATCTGCCACTTACTCACATTCAACCTCAGTGTCCTTATTTACCAATGCCAATCCTATAGGTGGCTGTGTGGGGCTTAAAGGAGATTTTGGCTCAACCAGTCTTTGGTTATTACTAAAGAGGGGAGCAGAGGTTGAGGGTCCCCTTTACTCCACTCCGGTCACTCAGTTCATCTGAGCTCACTTGTGACTGCCGTGGGCTGCCATCAGACCGTGCATGCGCAAAGCTCACCTTACCAAGCCCACATGCCTCTTTCTCTGCCCAGGGAGACTGATTGAGATGCTTGCAGATTCATCCTTCAGGGCATGCACTCCGTGTCTCCAGCCTTCAAGCCATGAAAGAAGGGGGCTGCAGGATCAAACTCCAGCTTCCCACAATGCTTTTCTTCCTTCCTTGACTTTTACTTCTGCTTCTCCCAATAAGCTATCTGCACCCAAGCCCTGCTCTCTTCAGGGTCTTATTTTGAGGGATCTGACAAGGAAATGAAGGCTTTGAGGTACTATGTGGTTGGTTCAAGGGTACCAGGTTAAGGCATGATGGGCCCAGGATTTGAACTATGGTGTTTTAAGCCAAACTACAAAGCCACATCTCTCTTCCTAATGCCTGTTGTACATCTATACTAGCTTATAGTTTTTGTCCTCCCATGCTTTTTTACCCTTTGTGCTGACATTAGGGCATGAGCTCAGGCCTGGGTGTAATCTCTGAGCTTTTTTTTTTTTGTCGGTCATGGGGCTTGAACTCTGGGCTTGGGCGCTGTCGCTCAGCTCTTCAGCTCAAGTGGAGCACTCTACCACTTGAGCTATAGCACCACTTCCGGTTTTCTGGTGGTTTATTGGAGATAGGAGTCTCACAGTCTTTCCTGCCTGGGCTGGCTTTGAACCACAATCCTCAGATCTCAGCCTCCTGAGTAGCTAGGATTACAGGCATGAGCCACCAGCGCCCGGCTTATCCCTGAACTTTTTCACTCAAGGCTAGTGCTCTATTACTTGAACCCCCAGCTCTACTTCTGGCTTTTTTGGTGGTTAACTGAGGATTAAGAGTCTCAGACTTTCTTTGCTGGTTGGCTTTGAAATGTTGGGGGCTAAGGCAAGAGAATTGTAAGGCCAAGGCCAACCTGGGCTATACAGGGAGGTGCAGGCCAGTCTGAGACCGAGCTGTCTCAAAAACAAAAACAAGAAAGACAAAACAATAACGGCAACAACAGGATGGGAAAATTTAAACTGAGATTTAATATGACTTGCTGTCTAGCAAGCACAGGTCCCTCTCCACACTCACACACACAAAATAAGTGAAAAGAACAAAGGAAAGGAAAAGAAAGGGAAGGGGAGGGGAGGGAAGATTTGGAAATAGTGGGCTGCTGGTAGGGAAAAGATGGAGTGAGAAATGAAGCTTTATGGTCTCACTGAATCCCTAGATTCAGCTATGCCTGAAGCCCAAACTGTATGCTTAAACAAGTTTGCATCAATGTTCTGTTGCTCACAACTGAAGAGACATAACCTAAACCCTTGCCTTCTCTTGCTATGGTCCTTTGACCACCAGTGGGCCAACATGACTGGGTGTCCATCTGTATTACGACAGCAGGTTACATTTTTCCAAAGGCAGTGGTGCTATATTCTATTTGTCCCACAAGCTTTTCCTAAAATGTCACTGCCTTTCCTGGATGTTCCCCCTAAGGTTCAGCAGAGGGTCGTGGTTGCTCTGACCAAGGAGATACGATAGCAATGAGTCTGTGTAACTTGTACAGACAAAGCATAGAAAGCAAGATGGATCTCTTGCTCTGGGGTTATTGTCTTTGGAACCCTGCCAACATGCTATATGCTGTGAGGTAGCCCAAACTGACAGCTGCTCCAACCACCCCATGCGAGAGGGAACAATCCTTCCCAGGGCCCCTCGTGCAGGCCCTCAGGTGCTCCAGGGTGAGGCCCTAGGTATTGTGGAGCAGAGCTGAGCCATTCCAGCTGAATCTGGCCTAAATTACTGACTCACAAAACCCACGAGTATAATAAACATGTCTGCTCTGCTTTGAGTAGCTTCTTAGGCAGCAGTGGCAAGCAGCAAAGCCTCCCCCATCTTTATGTCATGAAGAAAAAGAAGATAACACAAATGCATGGCACAAATAAATAATCTTTAATTTCAATAAATAGCTCCCTAGCACACCAGACAATACACTGTGGAGAAGGACACAGAATCATCCATCGGGAAAAGAGAGTTCTATTGTACCTACACTAAGGTCTTGGCACGTGAGACACAACTGGTTCACACACAAACACCGAACGAGCCTCAGAGTGTGATTAAGGAGGAAATCACCATGGACGGGGGTGGTGGCCATCTTAAACTGGGTGGCAAGGTTCTTGGTGGGTCGCAGCCACCGTGATTCAGTCACTAAATGTTACTGTTGCCCTATCATACCCTATATACGCGATACAAACATATACATATATTATTGTTATCCAAGGTGGAGGGGGGGTCTCTGACAGATGCGAGGACACTGGGTGAACTCTCACTGAAGGCAGAGAGAGAAGTGGGGCCCAAGGTGGAGATCCTAACTCCCCAGAGGACACACACGTTCATCTGTGATGGACACACACACACACACACACACACACACACACACACACACACACACACACACATATGAGGGCATAAACATATGCCCCCACAGGGAGCCCCTGGATTGGAATAAGCTACCACAAAGACACATTCAGTTAAGCTGGGAGAAGTTTCTAACATTGGATTATTTTTTTTTTTTTGTCACCATTTTGTTTCTCCACATAGTCTAATCTATTTAACACCGGTACTAAGGAGAAGACAAAGATACTTATACCTTTGGGGAAAGGTTTCAGGTGTGAAGACCCCCCCTGTTCAGAAGTTGCCCCATTGGCGGTGTGTTTGGGGGCATGAGGGTCCAGGCCTCCCACAGACTGGCCAGACCCTTGGTAGAGTTAGTTAGTCCTTGGACAGTTCTCTTTGGGAGGCCGCCTTTCTGTGGCCTGAGGGTTGAAAGTGCATTTTAGGACAGGGGTGTGAGCGTGAGCAGACCCTGCAAACACATCACACAGCAGAGCCCACCCAGCTCCATGACAGATGAATAGAGCTTCCAGAAAGTTCTTAGGTCTCCTTCAGTGAGGGTAGCCATTTTGTAGTCAATAGTTTCCTCAGAGATGGCGGCCATTTTGTAGTCAATGGTTTCCTCAGAGAGGAAGGCCATCTTGTGGTCAATAGTTTCCTCAGAGAGGAAGGCCATCTTGTGGTCAATAGCTTTCTCTCAGTTCTGACAAGATGCAATGTGTGTGTGTGGGGGGGCGTGTACAAAGGAGTGTCTGGTGTTTGTGAGTTTGTGTGGTTGCATATATAGGTGTATCTACTGTGTATGTACATAGGAGTGTCTGGTATGTGAATAAGAGTGAGAGGGTGTGGACACAGGAGTGTCTGATGTGTGTGGGTGTGTTTGTATGATTGTGTGTATACAGGAGTATCTGCTGTGTGTGTGTTTGTACGATTGTGAATGCGTGTACACAGGAAGGTCGGGTGTGTGTGTACACAGGAGTGTCTGGTGTGTGTTTGCAAGATCGTGTGTGTACACAGGAGAGTCTGGAGCATGACTGTACACACGGCAGTGTCTGTAATTGCACGTCTCCATTGACCAGGGAAGCTGCCCTCTCTGTGGCCTCAGGTCACCTCCAGGGAGGCCGGGGACACGCGATCACACTCGGCCCGGGACCGCAGGCTGTGCCACTGTTCCACGGCTGTGCGGTGGGTGTTCAGCATCCGCCGCCAGTGGTTGGATTCCGAGGGCCCGGATGAGTACTGGCCAATGACGATCCTTCCGATGAAGTCGTTGCTGCTCTTCACATTGTGGCCGAACACTGGGGAGGCAGGTGGAGAGGAGACGGGAGGAAGGAGGCCAGAGAGACAGAAGCTTTTAGTGTTTCTTTTCATGGTGAGAATCAGAAACCACCCCTCCCAATTCCCTCACCTCTGCCTCCCCAAGTCTTTGCAACTGCTGAATAGGGCACCTGCTGTCAATCTCTGTCTCTGTTTCTGTCTCTGTCTCTCTGTCTCTCTGTCTCTCTGTCTTTCTGTCTCTGTCTCTCTGTCTCTGTCTCTGTCTCTGTCTCTGTCTCTCTCTCTCTCTGCCAGTCCTGGAGCTTGAACTCAGGGCCTGGGCACTGTTTCTGAGCATTTCTGCTCAAGGCTGGCACTCTACCACTTGAGACACAGTTCCACTTCTGGATTTGGGATGGTTAACTGGAGCTGGCTTCACACAGAGATCCTCAGATCTCAAACTCCACAGTAGCTGACAGTTGGGGAGCTACTGGCACGTGGCCTGCCGCTGGCCCTTACCATGTCAGCCACGTTTCCTGACAGCCTCTGTCCTGCCCATGGCCGGGCCGCCCGCCACAGGCCTCACAGAGTGGGTGTCACTGCCTCCCACATGGCACACAGACAGTCCTGGTAGAACAAGGAGCCATCACTGCAGTCCAGCTCAGTGCGTCGGCCAGGGGCTCCCCGCGGTGGACGCCATGGGCTACATAATCCTCTGCTGTGCACTGGAGGATGTTTAGCAGCATCTCTGGGCTCTACCCACTAGATACTAATAGTGGGTCTTCCCTTCATATTGGACAGTGACGACTCACAAGTCTCCTAACACAGCTGACTGTCTCCTGGAAGGGGATAATGTGGCCCCATGACAGCCGCTAGGTTTAAGCTATGGGACTCTCAAGCAAACAAAGTAAACTCTCTGAGCCTCAGTTTCCTGGTTGGTTAAAGAATTTTTCTTTTCTGGTCCTGAGGAACTGGGTGCTGTCCCTGAGCTTGTGTGCTCAAAGCTAGGGCTCTACCACTCGGAGCCACTCCAGCTTTTTGGTAGTTAATTGGACATAAGAGTGTCAGAGTCTTTCCTGCCCAGGCTGGCTTTGAACCATGATCCTCAGATCTCAGCCTCCTGAGTAGCTAGGATGACAGGTGTGAGCCTCTGGTGCCTGACTTAAAGAAGATTCTTAATGAGGGAGCGTGAATAACACGGAAATGCACTGCATCCAGGGATGAAGGGAACATGAGAGTTTCACAGAAGCCACTGGATGCTGGGGGAGGGGCAGGGAAAGGGCAGCCTAGGGGGTTACTTTGACTAGCATATAATATAAACCCCCTTGGTGTAACTTGCATACACTTAAAAATAAAATAAAAGAATGTCAGGGAAGTGAAAGATGGTTGGAGGGAGAGAGGCATGGAGAAGATGCATAGGCTCCAGTACTTTATATACATGTATGGGACTAGAATAATGAAACCTGTCGAAACTGGTTTAATAAGAAGTGGGGGACAAGGAAGGGTGGTAAAAGGGGTGAGGATGACGGGATACATTGTATACATTATGAAGATAATGCAACGTGACCCTCATTGTATAATTAATACATGCCAATGAAAACCACGAGCAAAAAGAGGATTCTTAGTAGAACTTATAATCAATATAGAATACATGGTACAGCTCTCAGAAGCAGAGCCTAGTGAATGGTGAGTACACAGTAAACACTGCCATTGCAATTCTATTTTTTTTTTTTTTTTTGCCAGTACTGGGGTTTAAACTCAGGACCTGGGCACTGTCCCTGAGCTTCTTTTTGCTCAAGGCTAGCACTCTACCACCTGAGCCACAGTGCCACTTCCAGCTTTTTCTGTGATTAATTAGAGATAAAAGTCTCATGGGCTTCCTGCCCAGGGTGGCTTTGAACCACAATCTTCCAGATCTCAGCTTCCTGAGTAGTTTAGTATTACAGGCGTGAGCCACTGGCACCTGGCCTCCATTCTATATTTCAGTCTGTTGCCCTTTTATAAAAAGGAACTTCATCCTTCCTCCATTCCACGTAGCAGAGGCAAGCTTGCTGAGGGAATGGCCGCGTGCTCCCCGCCCCTGGCTGTCTGGCATGTATCTCTTCAGAAGGCTTCTCTGTTCACTCCAATGCAAGCTTTGTTTCTGTCTTTCAAGCCTAATGAGATCGTTAGCTTGATTTATCTTCCTGGGCTAGTGCAGCCTCGTTCGTTATCTATGCATGGGTAGTCTAAGCGTGCCATCTCGCTAATGGGGATGCAGGCTGCGTCGGTTATAAATGAAGGACTACAGAATGGGAAACATCACAGATTCGCCCAGCGTGAGCTGAGCAAAGGCAGGCTGGAGCCTAGGAGGGAGGCCAATTCTCAAATACAACAGCAAAAATATGCAGCACCAAACAGAGCTTGAGCGCTAACGAGACTCCTCCACTCTCCCCGGTGGGGTTCACACCAAGAATCCCAAGCGATGAAAAGAGGGGACAGAAAGAAAAGTGGAAAGCCAGGCGCTGGTGGCTCACGCCTGTAATCCTAGCTACTCAGGAGGCTGAGATCTGAGGATCGCGGTTCAAAGCCAGCCCGGGCAGGAGAGACCGTGAGACTCCTATCTCCTTTATTAATAAACCACCAGAAAACCGGAAGTGGCGCTGTAGCTCAAGTGGTAGAGCGCTCGCCTTGAGCTGAAGAGCTGAAGGACAGCGCCCAGGCCCAGAGTTCAAGCCCCACGGCCGACCAAAAAAAAAGAAAAGAAAAGAAAAGTGGAAGAAGAAACACAAGATCTCATTCCAACGCCAAAAATCAAAACCGACCGTAGGACAAATCAAACACGATGTCATCTCTCTCAAGGGTGTCTGGGAATGTGTCACCTCCACAAGGGAAAAAAATGGACCATGTATAATGTTTTGGACATTCAGTAATGTGCTCATCAGGTGCAGGTGGACCTGGAGGACATGAGGATCTGACAATAAAGGGGAATATTAACAATAGAATCTTTGCCTCATCAAGGAAATTACTGAATCAAGTTTTTTCAGTAGGTAACACTCAGAGTCTTTTGACCCATACCTAGTGCCTAATGTAAAGTGTGATCTTAACAAATGAGAGCAAGTTACCCCAGTCAGATCGGCCTTAAATCTAAAGCAAGATTAACAGCATGGGACGATTTCAGGCTCCATTTGGTTTCATTCTCTTAGGCGAAATGTGCTGTTATCTCCTCCCCACCAAAACATGATCATGAGGGATGATGACGACCAGAACTCTTGTATATGGACACGGGGCCTTTGTTATCATTGGAAAACTGGAGATTGAAAGTAGTTCGTGTGATGTTCGTGGAGGACCAAGTGGTTCAATGCTCAAAATAAAAACAACATGACTTTGCCAGGCACCAGCAGCTCACGTCTGTAATCCCAGCTCCTCGGGAGGCTGAGATCTAGAGGACTGAGGTTTCAAAGTCAGTCTGGGTAGAAGAGTCCACTAGAGTCCATCATCAAAATAACCAGCAAAAAGCAGGGCTGGGAAGGAGTGGCACAAGTAATAGAGGGCCAGCCAAGCAAGCCAGCCCAGGGATCGCAAGGTTCTGAATTCAAGCACCAGTATCACCCAAATAACAACAGAACATGACAACTTGTGACCCAGCGCCTCTACTTCTAGATGCATCCTATTGAACTGTCTGCACAAAGACATACATACAAGGTTGTTTTATATAGGCAGAGTTGGCAGAGTAGTGCCTCCAAGCCAAACCTGGCCCACCACTTCTTTTGTAAATAAAGTTTTATTAGAACACAATCAAACCCACTTGTTTACCCCAATTCTGCTTCTGTGCTACAAGGTGGGGTTTATGTCTCAGACTGCTAGGTTGTTTTAACCAAATACCAAAAGCAAAGCGACTGGTTCTAGAGTCTTGGAAGTCTAAGATCAAAGTAAATTTAGTGTCTGGTGAGGGCACTCTTTCTCATAGATGGCGTCTGCTCACTGTGTCCTCCAGGGAGGAAGAGACAAGCTAGCTCCCTGGGTCCCCATCCTGATAATGAGGGCTTTGTGGGATCACCCCACAAAGCCTCCACACCCTCAAACCACCACTTGGGGGCCTTAGGCCTACCACTTCTGATTTGGGGAGATCACAACCACTTAGACCGTAGACATAATTTCTAGAGAAACCATACAGTCCTCGAAGGCTCAAATATTTACCATCTGGCTATTCACAGAAAAGTTTGTCCGCCTGTTCTAGGGCGCACTGTTTGTAAGAAGGAAACCTTGGCACTGCCAAACCCCCCATGAGGCAGTGTGGCTGTGAGTGGCCTTCTCCCACCCCGAGGGTCATCACAGCTTCTGAGGATATCGTTCTACCTGAGCAACTCTCTGCCGGGGGCAATGCTGGCTTGTCTATGCACACAGTGTGCTTTCTGGTAGGGTGTCTTGGGCCACATCATAGTAGCTTGACCTCAGAGGGAGCTGGGGATGAGGGTCAGCCATGTCTGTGTGACTGACCCCCAGGCACCAAAGTTCAAGTGCCCATTCCCACAGTCAGCAGTACGCTTGAGTGTTGCATCTATCAATAACAGGAGAATTAGCCAGGTCACTCACGCCTATGTAATCCTAACTAGGCAGGAGGCTGAGATCTGAGGGATTGTGGTTCAAATCCAGCAGGATTTGGGCAGGAAAGTTCGTGAGACTCTTATCTCCAATTTACCACCAGAAAATCAGAAGTAAAGCTGTGGTTCAAATGGCAGAATGCTAGCCTTGCGTGAAAAGGCTCAGGTACAGCGCCCAGGCCCTGAGTTCAAGCCCCACCACTATATATATGGTAGAATTACACACTGTCCGTTTAACTCGAGTAGAGGAGGACCACAGGACCTGGTGTCTCCCAGACTCTGCCCTGAGTACCTGTTTAGTTTATTTGGACTGCTGTAACACATTACTTACCACAAACTAGGTGGGTTCTTACAGTTCTAGAGGCTGGGAAGTTAAAGGTCAAGTTGGCTAACATAGCCCATGTTAGTTTGGCCAGAGCTGTCTCTCTGTCTCTCTCTCTCTCTGCATCCAAGATGGC